CATTTTGATTTCATTTCACTTTGATTTTAAATATCATAACATCCAGGTGTATTTCAAATAAATAAATAAATAAATTATTAAAACGAAATAAATACAGATACTTACTTGAATTAAAGTTAAGAAGCACAATTCCAGAGTGACGTCAAGGGTTCCAGGAAGGTATTTGTTGTTGAATATTAACTTAATATTGTCATAAATAAATAAATAAAATAAATAAATAAATTTGTTATTTCTACGCCTGTAAATTTGTGTAATATCGTGGAACTTAAAATGTTTAATTTGAAATTTCAAACAAACTTCAATGGAATGTAACTGTTCGTATTTAATGCTAATATAAAGAACTTTTCCACTAAAACTCGACGCGTAATAACATGCGTAACAGTCAATACAAAACCGACATCCTCTACATAACTTTTGAGCAATTACAACAGGAATGGTAAACGAAAATAGAATACCATTTTTGTCTTAAAATATTGAACATGTACAGTAAAATCAATACAAAACCGATATGCCCAACATTGTTTCTGAACTACTACAACAGGAATGGTAAATGATAAAGGACACTAACAAAAATAATTTTCAAACAAATATCACAAAACTTGCGTAAATCAACAAAATGTTTAAAATAGAAATAAAAAAAAAATAAAAAATAGAAATAAAAAAAAAATAAAAAATAGAAATACAATTCATAAAAATGTAAAAATGATCAAAAAACGAACAGTTTTACTGGAATGGACTCGCCTATTGTATAACAAGAAACAAAATAAAACAAAAAAATAAAATAACTGATAAAATGGACTAAAAAATAGTGTTTTTTCTCACAAAATCAACAATCATACTTCACAATTTAGTAGTAGGTAATTTATGAAATTAAAACAATCGTCATAAATTAACGGAATAAAAGTAAAATTTAAGTTATGTGCCATTACAAAGTGTAAAATAATAAAAATTGGAAAGTTTCACTAGAAACAATTGGCTAGATCAATACAAGGATTGAAATAAAGTGACATATCTCGACTTGATATTCCAACTTATAAATAATAAATTAAGTAATTTGTTCAGGCCGCAGGTCTTATTGTTAATGAGTTCTTATAGCCTCAATAGAACATCAAATCAGAAACATAGCACTCCACAATACACGCAACATTCTTACAATACAACTTAATAGAGATCAAAGCTTTTTTTCTTCTGAATATACATATAAGGTATACAGTTTTGTGAAAGGAGCGCAAATAAACGAATTCAAGAGCAATTTCGATATATGAACCATTTAAAATAAAAGCCTGGTCCACAATCCAGATTAAAGGGATTGTAAAGAGGTTTTCTAAATTTTCATATGTTTGATGACGTCACTACTCGCGAATGGCCTTATGAGATAATGCATATTATTTTGCGATTAGTGACGTCATCAAACACTTAGGCTAGTTTTAGTCGAATTGCATGAACCACAGACGTTTGATTGACAATTGGAATGGCGCATATTGATGCTATCAGTGTCCCTAATACACAATATAATTTTTTAGAAAACATTTCACAAGTCCTTTAAGGTGCCCTCACACCACAGTGATCACCAGTTTGCGAATAAGAATAAGTTTCGAACGCAACTCTCATGCAAGTGAGTTGTGAGTTGCGTTAATTCATGGACGTTTTCATTATTCACAACGAACGCATGTGATAATCACAATAGTCTGAGGGCATCTTAATTTAAATACTTCTTGAGAATGGAATAATATTGTTTATATAAAAAAAAAATCATCTTTTGACTCCAAAACCATTTTTGATATAACGTACAATTATTGATAGGTCTAATACAGTTTAAAAGCCATAAGAATTTCTAGGTCGAAATATATTTTTTATTTTAGTTAATGGTTTGGGCTGGTATAATATTTCTTATTTATTAAAATTACTATATAATGTAAGATCTGAAAAAGCTGTCACAGGTTATCCACCAAAGTTAACGAAAATATCTGAATACTGCTTTTGGGACTTTTTTACAACAGGAATAAAATTGAAGTCTTCGAATCAAACTCACTGATGATAACAATGAGCCAAAATTAACAATTCTATGATTAAAATATAATATCAAGATATTTCAAGAAAAACAAAATATTTTTGGAAATTTGACTCACGAAAATAATCCCACGAGTAGCGAAAAACCAAAAAGAAAGCTTGTTATAAAATATCGTTTTGGATCTTTTTTCCAATATTTGTAACATAGTTGAATTTTCTTACAAATTCATCACGTGATATTTTTTTCAAAATTGGAGGTGTCGTAAAATGATTAAGTATGAAACTAATACAGTTAAAGTTTGTGGAAGTCTCATTTTCAAGGTTCTTAAATTTTGGGGTAATTTGACCTCAAACCTTTTACCTTTTATTTGAACTTTCTTAAAATAGAAAATTTCACGAAAAACTTGAGTAAACATGGTCATTTTATCTAAAAATGATATTTCGGAAAAATATCAAGCCGTTTTGTAAAAGAAAGTAAGACATCGAGAACGCGTCTTCGATACAAGACTATTTAATTTCACTTTGAAACTGGATATTCTAAATAACATTACTATATTCTTTAGAAGACGACCAAATGTTCGAGACTTTGCCTCATTAATAATATTTTGACAAAAAAAAAGTACTTGAATAATTATTTTTTAAGATGACTCCTATCTGTTGTATCTACCTTTTTGTCACAAGCATGTTAACAAACAAAAAAATTCGTGAAATTATTTTAATTTTTTTTTCTGAAATGTTTTTTTTTTTTTACGACGAAGTTTGAAACTGACATAGTTTTACATCCTACTTTTCTGTATCTGATTAGGCTAATGAAGACGGCTTAGAGACGAGACTTCTAATTTGTCTAAATATTCAGACTAGAATAAAAAATCATCATTGAGCGAGACATTTTCGTTTCAAACCTTGGAATTTTTCATGTGCGTGAAATTTTTTTTGAGAAATATTCAAAATAAAAAATAAATCACCTAAAAATCGGCACCCAGCGGAGATAAAAAAAAATCGCTGACAACAGAAAAGGCCAAAGAACAATTTGTCTGTGGTCAGAATACAGTAAAACTGTAGAATTGCTGTGCTCTATGTTTTCAATTCCTTAGTCAAAATACAGTTAAAAGTTGAAACATTGAAAGCCTTCCAATAAAAGCCAACAACCTGAAGAAACTAAGAGGCAGATGTTGGACGTGTTAAGATAGAAACTATAGGGTTATGGGGTTTATTAAACACTAATTTATAAAGTGAGAAGTAAAAGGTGTTTATTTTATCACCTTGCTTAGTCAATTTCATCAGTCGACTAGTAGAGGCTAACGACAAATTTATTTACCCTTTTACGAATATGTACGTTAAATTCTGTATTTTTCTATGTCAAACCGCTTTTTGGGAGCTTAAAATATTAATTTTTTTCAGCCTGAAATTTTTGAAAAAATGTCGGATGGTAAAATTTCAATTCTCATTCAATTTTCTGGTCTATTTTGTCATGTTTATGAGATTTCATCCAAAATTATTTTATTTTTCATATATCTAAAAAAAAATCTTTTTCTAACTACCAAAAATTGCACGACTTTGACAAAATTAAATTAAATCAAATATTTAATTTTTCGTTATTTCGTTTCGTAACTTTAAAAATAAATTTGTACGATTGCAACTCTCTAACATAAAAACGAAACGAAATACCGAAAATTGTTTTCCTCTTTTCCTTCACATAAATTATCTTAAAGTTCTTTTTGTCATTATTCGAATTAATTTATGACATTAAATATCTGTTACTATACAAATTAGGAAAATGTCAAAGCTTAAAGTGGGTTTATAAAAATTTTAGATATTCCCAGATTAGGCCTATATGCATATGAATAACATTTTTCTGTAGACATTTTATAATAAAATGTATGGATTTGAAGTCAATAGATTGGTTTAATCGGAGACAGGCTTAATTATCCCATAAAGCCCTGAAATTAATTCACATAATGAGACTAAAAGGGGACGAATGCCCTAATATTATTCAGCTATTAGCTACAATGAGTTTTAATGATGCACTCCTAAATAACGGTCTATGGGTGCTCTATAATTTTAAAATAAATACGTGAGAATTCAACAGTGAACAATGACAAACAAAATCTAGCTAGCTAATTGGTGGATTGCTTCTTAGTGTCTTTCAGTGCAGTCGTAAAACACAAGAGACAGCCTCAGCCATTTGAAAGGGGATTTGTCTCGTTACAATGGCAAAATAATCGTATTTTTACTACCGGATTATCAGGGGAATTTTGTAATTCGAGATGAAATGCTCTTAGCATCACTGTCATTCATGTCCTTTAAAACACATTTCTGACTTTCCCTTTTCATATCTGACTGAGCTTTTGTTCTCTTAATATTTCTATAAAGCTTAAACCCAGCATGAATACAATTCATTATTTTCATCCAAATTCGAGTATACAAACTTAATTCTCTATATACACAGAATAACATTCACAATAGATATAACAATTAATAACTTTGAGCGTTTTGTGAGTCATTTTTTAAGTCCGTGATTAGTTTTTTTGATTATAAAAATTGACGATGATGAATAATAATGATGATGATGATGACGTCAAAGTAAAAGATGACGCAAGAAACTAAATTGACGTCAAAATCAAAGACGACGTAACTTAGAATGGCGACAAAATCAAAGATGACGAAAAATGAGAATGATGACGTCAAAATCAGAATGAGATGATGACGTCAAATCAATAACAGGGTGTCGAATGACGATGACGTGATGATGACGATGAAGACGATGATGACTATGATATAATACTCACACAATAAATAAATGTAGATTTTTACAAAATGGCTGCTTCAGTTGAGATATTACTGTTAGAGACGAAAATCTCCAGAAATCCCAAACTAAAACACATTGCACGTTATCATTATTATAATATTATAGCACACATTGAAGGTAATCATTGCTTGAGTATAATAAATAGAGAGTTCACATGTCTATAAGCACACAAAAATATCCATTAATGATGTACCATTCCTGCCGTGGTCGCCGAAAATTTCATTCGCTTTTGTTTCTGTCTTTGATTACAGAACCAAACCCGCACAACGTTTTTCTTAAGTTCCAACTTTTCTGCAATTTGAGCAATTTTTTCTCCTGAAGGTCGTGGCTGCACCGCAAAATACGCTTCCAATGACCGTTTTTCAGGGGCTGCGATTGACGTACGTTTACGTTTTTTGTCCAAAGGTCCACCCATCATACTCGCTTCACCCTCCATTTTCCGATCCCTTGCCTCCTTTTCTGCGTCCTCAAGCCACGTCTGTAGAATGGGTTTGAGTGCGATCATATTGTTGTGACTCAGAGTCAATGACTCGAAGCGACAAATTGTACTTTGACTCAACGATCCGACTCCCGGAATTTTCAAATTAGCTAATGCGTTTCCGACATCGGCTTGCGTCACGCCGAGTTTTATTCTTCGTTGTTTAAATCGTTCGGCAAACGCTTCGAGTTCTCGAGGATCGCAATCGGTATCGTGAACAGGATGGTGCATAGCAGCAGGGTGCGGTGGGAATCCCGGGTGATTATTGATGCTATTAGGGTGATTGTACATGTTGTTATACATCTGATGATGGTGAGAAATCTGATTGTGGTGATCCGACATGCTGGTGACTGGTCCGAGCGACATACTGGTAGGACTTCCGGTTAGTTGATCCAGCATACTATCTGATGGTCCATAGGAACTCGGATGGCCGTGCATTCCCATATTTGACCTTGACATGTGCATGTTATGACCTGTAAATTCCGGAGTGTGGCCGTATAATCCTTCTGGTTTCATGCTGGTGGGTTTGGAGATGTCCACAGCGGCCAGTGCTTCTGCTCGGGCCAAAATTCCATCATCGAAACCTCCGAAAAAATTGCCCTGAAACGAGACAAAAGAAAATGGATTACAAAATGCCTACTAGATAAATTGAGGTATACCTTGTCTGAAATAAATATACCAAAAACAAAGACCCGAGAAAACAATATTATATGTGGACTCTCTGAAAGAGATACCAACTTAAAGAGTTATCAGGCGTTCGGAAGAGTGAGCATAGTTGGAACATCTCTCGTTGTCGTTCTACAAAAATATAGAATAAAAAAATTTCAACCAAAACTATCTTCTATACAAAAGAAAGAAATCGACAAATAAGCTATGTGGACTCTCCGAAATATTGTGTTCGACACTAAGGTACCTTTCTGCAGAAAATGATCAGTATAAAAATGTGTTATATTGAAAATAGGTAGCAAGACTGAAAACTACTAGAGAAAGCTCGAAATACATGTACTCGAAACCATAACATTTCATCATTAACGACCCATTTTTACAGGCTGTAGCCCCTCGGGAAATCAGTATATAGTGGCAGACTGTTCTGCTGAACATATTTTTAGTTCACATAATATTGAGACAAATCTTTGAGCATTCTATGACAGCAAACCATCCCCCCACCCCCTTCGAATAAGTTTACAAAAAAATTAAACATGGATTTTGAAATAGAGATTTGAGCCCATTTTAATTCAGTCTATCCGACTGAAAAAGTAAACGCTGTTGTTTCATTTTTTCTTGGATGTCGAATTTTGTAGATTTGTAATAAGGAGAATCTCTATTGTTTGTTTTTTTTTTGTACATGCTTTAGCTAGAAGGGAGCGTGCAGATTGTGAATTTTTAAATTCCATGGAATTTGTCCCGGCAAAGATACCTTCATTGTTCACCGCATGGTGTTTCCTGTCTTCATTATCTCAATGAGGTGTTAGAAAGTAGGGCATACAACATCATATCATTTCTACTAGTATATTTACGATGTTTGTGGTCTGAGTCCCAGCGTATGAATATTTAATATGATATATATATATATATACAGTTTACAACTTTCATAAATGTCACTAATTATATTATACTAGTTTATTGTCGCAACGTTTCGCTTTTTCTTCACATAAATTATCCTTATTGTCTTAAAGGGGCAAAAAAAAAATTTTGTAAGTCGAAATTTTTGTTCAAATTCATGAAAACTAAAAAATCAGTTTGATCAAGAAGATACATTGATGTACATTTGCATTTTTTAGAAATATTTTCATTTTTTTTTTCACTAATATATATAGGCCCTTACTTCGTGTATTGGTCCAAGAATTGGCTTAATATAAACTAAGCATAAGCGTTCAAAGGTTACATGGAATTTTGTGAGAGATCTTGTCAAGTATCTACATGATTTAAGTAAGGTATTTTCAATTCAACATTTCAACTGGATATAATTTTTGAAGTGGTTACCTCTGAAATAACGAAATAAAACCGTTTGAAAGTTTTTTAAGCAAGCGGGCATCAGACTGTGAAAGAGATTTTTATGACTATATTTGAAAAACGTTAAAATTTAGATATACAAAAAAATAAAAATTAAAATATTTTGAACATCGAAATTTACAAATATTCGTCAAACTTAATATAAACAGAAAAATTATAAAAAAAATTTGAAAAATTTTACATAGACAGAAAAGCTAAATATGTTTTAAACATAAACAGAAACATTACTAAAGAATAAGGTCATTATTAAATATTTAATGTCTATTGATGAAGTTTTTTCCAGTGAAGTTTTTTCTTTACTGAGTGGTTTTCTGCAAGCGAATAAATTATTTAAAACAATTCAGAAATTTATCGCTATTTTAGACTTGAATTAAAAAAAGACGTCCTCAGCCGTATTCTAAACCGTTTTTTTTAAAAATATTTTGTATACATTTTCTATAATATATTCTTAAATTTCAAAATTAGATATATGAGCATTTTTTTTTCAATTTAAAACAGAAATCGTTAGAACAGTCTAGATCAATAATTCAAATCGAAAATCGATAGAAACACAGACAGAAGCATCGAAACATTTGAAACATGACGTACGATGCCCTATAACACGTGACAATATTCTGCATGACTATGTATGACGCATGTGACGTTATTGCTACATAATCTAAAATGTAACTATGTGTCACGAAAAGGCTACTGTATGACTATGTATGGCACACGTGTTACTGCAAAATAGTCTTGATATTATGACTCCGTGACAACTATGTTATAACCTAGTGATCCAAGTATGGAATTTGTGTGACATTACGTGACGCAATGACAACAATATACAATATCGTAGCAATGTGTGACTGTATGACATTATCGCAACATTGTGTGACTGTATGACAATATCTTAACAATGTGTGACTGTATGACAATATCTTAACAATGTGTGACTGTATGACAATATCGTAGCACTATGTGACGGTATCACGATATCTAAACACTGTGTGTCAGTGTGACAATATTGTAGGAATGTGTGACAATATGACTGTATCGTAATAATGTGGGACTGTATGTCAATATCGTTACAATGTGTGACCGTAAGACAATATCGTACATTACGTGACTGTAAGTCAATATCTTAACACTGTGTGACGGTATGACGTTATCGTAAAAATGCGTGACAGTCTGGCAATATCGTAACAATGTGTGACTGTATGACAATTAGCAACAATATTATGATGATCGATCATGTCTTCAGGCTTCATCAATATCTGTATTAATATTATCTGAAAACACTTAACTCTGTGTCAAGAGAACTCTTCTTGAACAAGAAAGCGAGACGGAAGGATTACTGTGATAGGTACTTCGTCACTTCCGGTTCTTAATCAATTCATTAAATTGTCGTTATATTATTACATACATGTATGCAAGAATTTACATGATTGTAAATAATAAGCAACACCTTTTTTCAGGGAAACATTTGTTTAAATAATTTCTTTTATAGATAATGGCGTCTGATTCGTGTTATTTTTTAGACTGAAAATCTGGCATTAGGTTCGTCTGTATTTTATTAAAAAAAAGCTAACGAAAAGTGTCTAAAATTTGAATTTTTTCAATATTATGAAGTCGTGCATGGGCAAATATAACTTAACCCTCCGGTACTTTTGTATTAGATTGTACACGAACAGGAAACAGGATTTAGATTCTGAAAAGTGTCATGCATAACTGAAATTAAGCACTATCAACTTTTATAGCAAATAATTCGACAGTCTAGCTCTTTAAGATAAACTAAAAATTATTCAAAAGGACATACAATTCTGAAAGCATATAACTTATGGAGAATATAAAATTAAAACTATCCTCTGAAAATATAATATTCCAAAATTTGACCCCTATTCCAGGAAACAACTAAAAATCCATTCTCAAAGCATCCTACTTACGGGAAATATAAAATTATAAACTATCCTCCATCAAGAAAATCAATTTTCAAATCATTGATAGTCATTCCCAGAATATCCAAGACAAAAATAAAAATTCCCTACATACCGAACTGCTTGTCATACATCTCATGCGTTCCGGTGGTCGGTACGCAGGTGAGTAGCGACCGGGAATATTCCCGCCGTTAGAGATAGGAGATAATCCCATTAAAGTCTGTTGTTTCATCATTTAGAAAAACAAATTCACTTAATATTTAAATTCCGTTTAAATTCCACATTAATCGAATATACTAAAACACAACATTGTGCACTTTAATATCCATTCAGTGTTAAATCGAGGACTCTATACTCTATCCGAATACTGTTAAACCTGCCAGCAAGCCTAGTAACGAGAGATACGGCCGGATCTGTTAGATTCCATTCACAACTGCTTGCACCTGGCTCTATTCTATACCAGTCACGTGATTTCTACACAATACGCATGCTCAGTGACTAATTAAGCAGAACTGAGAGAAATTCTTTGATAAAATTTGAAAAATTGTGATAAAAATGGTGTTTTTATTGAAAATATTTGCTGTATACGAATACAGTTGAAGTTTATCCAAGTCTAGCGGTATTTCTATATTAAACTCCAGCCAGGAAACTTGGTGGATAAATTATGTATAACCAGAGACAGGTCTGGGTCTTCCTATGAATAATATATTCTCTTTCTGCTAGCCTGGAAATGTCACGGCTTCGTACCGGCAATTGTACACTTTACTCTTACAAATATAGCAGAGTTTTGATATTTCATTTGTACTTTGTCCCTCTTAATATTTTGACTATAAAAATTGGTATTCAGTTCTAAATTTAGTGGTCAATGAATTGGACAATGGTATTCATAATTTTTTGTCTAAACAATGGCATTTTAGTTTCAAATAGTACATTTGGTAAATATACGTGCTGGAATTTTTCTTATTGCTATCGCAACAGATCCTGTTATTTTAGATCTAAAAAATTATGAACAATAACTGAAAATATAACCAGTGAAGAAATATCAAATAGTTTTTTCTTGTATCTTAATGAATTCAATTCTTAATCAAAATTTATGAATATCAACGATTTTAGTATAATTTACTACTTTTCTTATGAAAAAAATATATAGAAAATTTAGGAAATTAGAAGTTCACGTCATATTCAAAGGAAATGGAGGATGGCTAAAAATAGATCAAAATCAAAATCACCCGTCTACTTTCACTTTAAATAAATTTTCTTCAGGCTAGCAGGTAAAGACACTTGAGATGAATTTAAGTGGAGGTGCCCCCCACCTCATTCAATATGTAAATAATATATTTATAGGGAAATATTGCGTTAGGAAATCAAGAGGTAAGACGTAAAGATCAGTTTATATCTTGTGGGTAAATAAAGAGCGACTATCATTTTAACAATAAGAATATTTGAAATGAGAAAAGAGCGTGTTTATAAAGTTTAAAATGCAATCAATCAGCTACTTCATAATCAGTGATCGATATTATTGATCTGTGAAAGACGATTCTCTCTTTCTTGAAAATAAAAACAATAAAATTATAGATTATCAAAACATACACAGTTTTAACCTGGCTGGGAATTTGAACATCATGGTGATAATTATACAATGACTTAGCTATAAGGTTGTATTGAACGCTTTCTTACAGTCATGGGAGCTGCAGTGGCTTAGTTAGACGCTAATTCGCTAACCCATGGTCCCTGGTTTTAATCCCGGTATAGGTCAAAATATTTCCTAATAAGGTTCAGAAGAGTAGGACGTAAAACTCCAATTATTTCATTTCTAATACCGGTGGCTTAGTGAGTTAGACACTTGCTCACTATCTTGAAGATCCTTAGTTCAATCCCGGCGTAGGTCAAGGTATTACCTTTGGTTTATTTCAACCCAGCCCCCCCGTCAGTGATGCAGGTCGGAAAGGGGGGGGGGGGGGGGGTTCTCATTGCATACTGCTTGACGTTTTACTTTTTGAGTTATATAAATCCCAGGGCGGACTCTACACTTATGCCCCCTCTCGCCTCTCCCCAAGACCCCCCTCTTCTCTCCACTAGTATATATAATAGAAGCCAATTGAGATATTATCCTATAACGGTGTAAAATACCAGCCAGCCGGGTATGAATTATTAATTCGGCCATTCTACAGATATTACTATGTATTTCACGGCTTTACTTTTCCCAGCTTACCGTTTCCAACGAGCTTGATAATAGTTTACGGTCTGCGGACAAAATAATTTCTGAAAAGATTTCGCTGTATTAGCTCATCAAATAAGTCGTAATAGGGCCAATATATTATAAAATATGTAAAATTATGCTCAAAAACGATTGTAGGTATATATGGACTTTCAAATTCCAGTCATTTTCGACGTAAAACTTAACTAAAATTATAGTCAAAAACGTAAAATCATGCTCAAAAACGTTTGTATAGGTATATGCGGATTATCCAATTTTATACTCATTTCATTTTCGATGTAAAACTAAACTAAGATTTCTTCGATCATGCTCAAAAAGTATTCCAGGTATGTGGACTCTCTTGAAAGTTTCGTCACAGGGTAACATCAGGTGTTAGAGAATGATAAGCATGTACTGTCTCATTTTCTCAAAGACACCTCCTTTATGTAAAGAAGACAAGATATAGTAGATAGCCTACTACTGAATTTATCAAATACTACGTTTCGAAACACTTACAGATAACCTTATCAAGTAAAATTATTTAAGACTGAAAAAAACCTTATAATCTAACGAAGAACAAAAACAGACAGAGAAGTCAAAATATAAAATACATGTCCATTTTGTTGATAATTACTACCTCAATAGAGAGGTTTATCTGATCTAAGGACAATTAGAATACAACAATAGTTTAACATGCTCGGTTTGGTCTTCGTAATGACCGGCTGGACATGTGTTTTTTACTTTTAATGGCCGATTTTCAAAGCTTACTGCTGTTTTATTGAACAAAGTCGCGTTTTAATTTTCTGTTAATACTACAAAATACGTTTAAAGACTTTTATTATAGAATTTTTGTTGTTTATTTTACAAATGTTAAGTCCTAGCCGTAAACTGATAGAATTAAGAAGACGTAATAAAACATTAATTCGAATCGGTTAACAAATATATGGATTGATGACGCAGCAAAAATTCTATAAGCAAAATATTTTGTGTTCTACTTTTCATTCAAAAAAAATTTTAAACATCAAAGAAAGCGAACTCGCGCTGAACATAAGCTGTAACATCGTCTAATAAAAATTCAAAATGTGGATACATTTTTAGTATTTTGATAAGATCATCTGCAATCAAAGTTAGCCCAAGAATTGAACAAACGACTTTAAAATATCTCTGAAAAGTGTATCAATTGAATTTCATTTTATTTATTTCAATACGCCGGTATCTAGAATTGTTTCTATAAAAGGAAACTCGGTAAGAGCACGTGATAACCAAACGACAATCATTTTAAGATCTATTTTCCCTAGGCGCAAGCTTTTCATGTAAAAGGTCTCAAGGCAGACGTTAAAAGGATAATTCGATGACAACATTGATATGCCTCGATATCAACGTCATTAGGTCACGTGCTTAGTCGTCTGCCGCTTGTTGGTCGCACGTGCCGTAAATGCCAACAAACATGGGGGATTACAGAAAAATAATCGGCAATACGGAGAAATATTTTCACCATATGTTTTATTGCTGGTAGAGAGGAAGATTAGAAAACAATTAGTCAGAGTTTCTATTTTTCATTTTTCCAAATCTTCGCTTCTTTGTATATTTCATTAAAATGCAACAGACATTTTGAAAGTATAAAAGTTTTGCTGGTATCCAGAAACAGCGAATATTTCTAATTTTCATATTTTCATCGTTTCCTCTTACATTTCATTTAAGTAGAATGAGGTATTTAGAAGAGAGCGAATATTCCTTTCGGAACTCTTAGAATATAACCTAATTTCTTAAACCGTTATTTACTATTTAATATGCAAATACTATTTAAAAAGAAAATAACAACTAATATTTCAGAAGAAAAAAATTGGTTATTATTAATGTTAAAAATGGATTTATGGAAAATTTGTTTTAAAAAAAAATCGAAAGGTAGAAATATTGAAATATTATACGTGTATTAAGAGTTAATTTATACAAAAAGTCATCTCTGATATTTGTAGCGAAAGAAATTTAAAATGACGAGTGAGATGAAGTCGAGGGAATGATGAAAAGTGAATTTGTTGTGTGAAATTATTAAATTAATTAAAGATGAGGTCTAATTACTCTCTCATCAACATTGTAACATGTTGTACTACAATTCACCATAATGGCATCTTAATATTCTCCGTTATGAAAATATCGTCACCGATACATATTGATTGCTTTCTAAATACCAACCAATAAACTACCCGAGTTTTTCTAATTTTGGTAATGGATTCAGCCAGCGAAACGAAGCTATGTTGGAAATGTCATGCCGGGCACTGACTGGTATAATTAGAAAATGTACCGAGAATATAAAAGACATTGAATTACAGACATTACAAATAATATTCAAAGAGGAGAATGGCTTTAAAACCATTTTTGAAGGCGGATTGTAGCACTGTTGAATAGAGCGTTTAAGTCTCACATGACGTCATTTGCTTGATTTCGTCGAACAAATAGTGATCTGGGATCAAATCACGGTCAGTGTGTGAAATTCTGGTGACTAATAAATCATTCTTTCATATAGCACCAAGAGAACCCTTTCAAATTACCTTATCAACTGGGTTAACACTCTAAAAAGGGTGATGAGTTGACAAACCTAAACGCAGAGTTACACCATGTATACCTGTCTCGGTATTACAGAACCGTTGACCGAATTAAATGATAATTTGTAGTGCATGTTAAATATCGATATTAAAAATGGATTAGATTTCAAGTTCTCTTAATCCACTAAGATAATATTTACCAATAACAAAAGAGATCGATAATTTCAAATCGAAAATGATGAATTCGATACTGATCAATAACTGATTGGTTATTAAATAAAATAACACAGTTGATGAGACAATAAACCACAATTCTTTAAAACCACACACAATTCCTATTTTTCTATATTTGTTAAGATATCACGCGTTAAATATCCCTGTATAGTTTTAACAACATACTCTATTTACAGACTCTTTCATTGATCACCGCCATGTTGCTTTTTTTCTTTCGCCTCTTTTGTAAAATAAAATTCAATAAAAATTATTCGATAT